TCTCTCTCTCTCTCTCTCTCTCTCTCTCTCTCTCTCTCTCTCTCTCTCTCTCTCTCTCTCTCTCTCTCTCTCTCTCTCTATCTATGTATCTATCTATCTATCTATCTATCTATCTATCTATTTATCTCCCTAGCTTTCTGATATTTGAAATTATTTGCAATAATCCATATCATAATGATGAATTGTAATGATCACATCATCTGCTGTATCTATAAATTGACTTTATTCTGCATTAACTTTATTCTACAATTTCAATATAAACTGATCAGTCCATAGATTTTTAACAGATATAGAAATATGAATAGTGTTGATTAAATTATTGGATGACATAAGATTTTATTTTATTTTTTTAGTTAATAGATGATAATGATGATAATAATGGTAATGATAATGTTAATAATAATAAAATAGTGATAGTTAAACAAAGATAATAAAACTAAGAATAAGAATGATAATAATAACAACGATAATGATGATAATAATGATGATGATGATGATAATAATAATGATAATAAGGATAATGATATTGATGGTATCATTGACAATAACAATAATGATGATAATAATGATAATGGTAGTAATAATAACAATAACAATAAGGGTGATGATAATGATAAAGATAATAATGATAATAATAATGAGAATAGTGATGAGAAGAATGATGATGATAATGTTAGCGTTAATAATGATGCTAGTTATAATAATAATGATGCTAGTGATAATACTAATACTAATATTAATAATGATAATAATAACAATAATAACAACACTTATAATAATAATAATAATTGTAAAAACAAGGTTCATCCAGATATAGGCTCATAATTTGTAAGACAAACTAAAGACTCATATTAATTGTTTTTTTAAGATCTGGAGAAATTTGTCGCTGAATACACACCGTCATAATGTGTACGCTTATTTTCCGCTTCAGTTACTAAGATAAAATATTCATCCGGACACGGTTTTTACAAGATTTTTACAGTCTTACGGATAGATTGCACGTCAGATTTCTTCTTCTTCTTTTTCTTCTTTCTTTCTTTTTCTTTTTTTCTTCTTCTTCTTCTACTTCTTTTTATTTTTATTTTCTCTTCTTCTTCTTCTTCTTCTTCTTCTTCTTCTTCTTCTTCTTTTTCTTCTTCTTCTTCTTCTTCTTCTTCTTCTTCTTCTTCTTCCTCTTCCTCTTCCTCTTCCTCTTTTTCTTTTTCTTTTTCTTCTTCTTTTTCTTCCTCTTTTTCTTTTTCTTTTTCTTCTTCTACATCTTCTTCTTTGCACACGGCCCATAAGTCGATTAACATAGATTAAGGTCTAATGCTGTTGACAAATGATTTTAAATTAAGCCGCGCAGAGATTCGCAATGGGAGTGAATATGGCGTCCGCTATTAACAAATATATTTACATTTACGAAAAAAAAAGTGCCATGGGTAATTCTAAGACATTTTAAGACCTGCAACAGAGAATGCTTTTTTTTTTTTTTTTTTTTTTTTTAACTTATTGACTTTAAATATCTTAAAAAAAACATTTAAGACATTTAAAGAATTTCTATGGATGTGCGGGAACCCTCAGTGATAATAATGATGATAATGATAATGATAATTTAATAATAATAACGATAATGATAATAATAATGATAAAAATGATCGTAATAATAAAAAATGATAAAGATAATAGTAATAATAATAATATGAAAAATGATAACGATGTTAATAACAAGGATAACATTATTGATAAAAATAATAGTAGTGATAACAATGATAATAATGATCATAATCATAATAATGATAATCATAACGATAGGGATGATGATTACATTAATAAGACTATAGTAGAATATTACCAATGATAATAATGATATTTAAAAGGATAATTACCATAATGACGAAAATGACAGTGATAATTAGTAATAAAAACTTAAAGGATTATAGCACTAATTACAAAATGATAATAATAACAATGATGATGATGGTAATAATAATAATGATAATGATGATCATAGAGATAATAACAATAATAATGATAATAATACTAATTAAAATAATAATGATAGTGATAATGATAAAGATAATGGTGATAATTATAGTGCAAATAATGATAAATGAAGATGATAATGATAATGATAGTAATAATGATAATAATAATAATAATAGTTATAAGAATAATGATCATAATAACAACGATAATAAATTTTTTTACAATAATAATGACGATAATGATAATGATGAATATAATAATAATGATGATAATAGCAATGATAGAACGATAATTTTGATAATAATAGTTATAAGAATGATAATGAAAATAACAATGATAATATGCTGCTAAATGTTAGCTCTTTAATGCTTCTTGCACTAGTGTCTATGATACCCAATTAATAGATCTCTTATCTATCGACTATGATTGCTTGCTTAAAACCTATAGAAAATATATTGTTTTCCTTCTTAATCTGCAACCAAGGACGCATAATAATTATTAACACCAGTGATTGATCCTATCGTTATAGAAATACTGATAGCCGTATGTTTTTAATGGCTTTAAATAATTGTAACGCTTGTATTTCTTGTTATAGAAGTAATGTAAACATGCATATATATATGTGCAGGACTGAGTACTATACACTGGGAAAATGTTCAATGCGTATTATGGATACAAGTAAGAATATTCTTCGAATATCCAAGGAAATTATCAAATGCAGTAATAATTCTATTGAATCATGTTAAGGAGCTATTAGTGCGTAAGAAGAGCACCTTGGATTGTGGTTTGACCTCGAAGGAAATCAGCAACAAGGTCGATTTAAGAGATGTCTCATCCTTAGCTTTGTCATGCATTTCTGTTTGTGTTTAATTCTTCTGTTTTGTTATTTTATGATTTCACTGCAGACATTGTATCGCTTGCTATGTTTTTAACGGATACATATTTAGATCGGAATTTTAATTTTGATGTTAATTACAATAATAATAGTGAATACTTAATAGTAATACTTAAAATAATGATAATGATAATAATGATAATTATCATGATGACAACAACAACAATGATAATAGTAACATTGATAATAATAATAATGATAGTAACAATAACGATAATGATAATAATAATAATAGTAATGATAATAACAATAATAATAATAATGATAATGATAATGATAATAATCACAAAAGAAACAATAATAATGACAGTAATAAAAATTCTGAAAACAATAACTACGATAGTAATGATAATGATAATTGTAATGATAATATCAACAATAATAATATGATAATTATAGTAATAACAACAAGAACAATGATGATAATAATAATGATAACAATAATGATAGACACAAAATAGTATCAATAATAATGATAATAATAGGAATAAGGTAATATAGAAAATTACCATAATAATAATAATAATGATAATAATAATAATAATGATAATGATAATAATAATAATAATAATAATAATAATAATAATAATAATATAATAATAATAATAATAATAATAATAATAATAATAAGAATGATGATAATAACGGTAGTAAGGGTAATATTGATAATGGTAGTGATAATAGCAGAAAAAAAGAAAATAATAATGACAAATATCGAAATCATTATCATTGTTTTTTTAATTATTGCGATATTTATCTACATTGTTATTTTTGCATCATCTCTGTGGTAATTATCTATTTGCATAATAATCATTTTTTTTATTATGATCATTATTATCATTATCATCATCATTACTGGAAGTATCATCCTCATTATTAATATTGTTATCATGATTGTCATCATCCCCAACATCAATGCTATTATCATTGTTGTTGTTCTTACTGTTGTTGTTGTTATTAATACTATTATTATCATAACCGTAATAATAATCATCATAAAGGAATTGCTGATGACATTCTTCATAATTTTCTCAAAGTACCACTGATGTAGCACTTGTATAAAAAATAAATAAATAAAATAAAACTTGGAATATCTCCTTTCTCTTTCAAAAGCAAAGTTTATTGCCTACTAATTGTTAATTATAAACTAAAAACCACTTTCCGCTTAGACTGTATTTTCCATTAAGTACATTAAGATTATTATTTTCTGATATTGACCATAATGATAATATTGTCTATTGCCTTAAAATCTTTGGGGATAAACTATCATCTATAATCCATTTTCATTAATATTTTTTTCTGATATTCACTAAAACAATATTTCCTATTACTTCTTAATCTTGAGCTATAGACTGGTATTCCTTATCAATCAAAACCATAACTATTAATAACACTAAGAACATTTTTTTCTGATATTCACCATAAAGATGATATTCCTTTTTGCTTCCTAATCTCTAGGTATATACTGTAATCCATTAATTATTAAGTACATGTGAACTTTTTTTGATATTCACCCTAATGAGAATAATGCCTATTGCCTCTTAATATTTAGCTAGAAACTATTATTCATTATCCACTAAGAACAATTTATCAATGAAGAACATGAAGAACATATTTTTCTGATATTCACCATAACAATGATATTGCCTATTGCCACTAGATTTTTAGCTATAAACTGTTATCCATATCTTAGCTAGTATTATCTTATCCCTTAAGAACAACTGATTCATGAAGATGAAAGAACATTTTTCCGAATTGGCCACATGATTATCAAACCCTATTCGCCATGAGAAAATATTATGCTTAACATTGCATCTAATTATTAGAAACACGAAGAACAATTTATCACTGATTCTGATTCACCATAACAAACATTTAACATGCCTAGATTTTAAAACTGATCTCTAGCTATAAACTATTATCCCTAATCATCTCTATCTAGAAACTATCATCAATTATCCACTAAGAACAACTGATTCGTTAAGAACACCAGAACATTTTCTGATATTCACCGTAGCGATCTTCCCTCCAGGAGCTGCTGTACCTCGACGCCGACCTCGCCTTCGGGAGTTGGTCAGCCATCAGCATCAACACAACGAGGGCTTGCATGATCCGAAAGACGATCATCTTTTCCTCTCTGGGCGATCAAGAATATCCTTTTTCTTATCACGAGAGGCAGAAAAGGAGAGGGATAAGGGGGGGTGGGGTGGGGGAGGTGAGGAGGGCCAGGAAGGATTTTCGAGTGTCGAGTGTCACTTGGGGGTTGGTCTGTCTCGAGGAGGAGGTTTTGGGGGATAAGGTGGTCGTCGGGAGGAGCACTTCGAGGGCGAGGGACAGGTGGAGTACACCTGGACGGCCCGGCGAGTGATGCCACTGTGGCTGGCTCTGTCACGCCAACCGCCAGGACCTCTTTTAGCCCCCTCTCCCCTCCTCCCCCTCCCCCGGCCTTCCCTTCCTTCTCCCCCTCCCCCCCTCTCTCGACTCTCCACCCCTCGCTTCATTCTCTTCCTATACTCTCTCTCTCCCACCCTCTACCTCCCCCATCCTCTATCCCCTACCCCCTTTATTATCATCTCCCTCTCTCACTCCCCCCCCCATCCCTCCTCTCTTACTGGGCCCCTCTCCCCACCCCACACCCATCCTCTCTTCTCCTCCTCCTCCCCTCCCCACCACCCCCTCCTCTCCCCTCCCCTCCCCCCCTCTACTCCACACCTCTGGCACACCGGTGTTTAATAGTGGCTTCCGGTTGTAGATACATCCGGTGCCTGAAACAGTTGACATAGAATTTTGCACAGTGGCAGGTGTCGAAGAGGGGGGTGGGGGAGAGAGGGAAGGGGAGGTGTCGAAAAGGGGGGAGGAGGGAGGTGCTGAACAGGGAGGTGGGGGGGGGAGGAGAGAAGGAGAGTGGGAAGGGAGGAGAGAGAGGGTAGGAGAAGGGAGGTGCCGAAAAGGGGGAGGGGGGAGGGAGTGGGAAGGGAGGTGTTGAACAGGGGGGAGGGGGAAGAGGAGAGAAGGGGATTGGGAAGAGAGGTGTTCTCAACAGGGAGGGAGTGGAGAGGGAGAGAGAGAGGGAGTGGGAGGGAGGTGTTCTCAACAGGGAGGGAGGGGGGGAGTGGAAGGGAGAGAGAGAGGGGGAGTGGGAAGGGAGGTGTTCTCAACAGGGAGGGAGGGGGGGGGAGTGGAAGGGAGGGTGTGCATGTCCACTTTTGTCACGATTACTCCTTTCCAAATGACGCAATCACCCCTTTTTTCCTAATACATGCGCGTGCCACACCTACGGGGAGGGCGACGAGGTGCACCATCGGGTTTTGAAACACTAATTAGAAATGTACAGATACAGTTTTATCTTTTATTTAGATTTTTCTGTTTATATGTCTATCTATCTGTCTGTCTACCTATTTATATATCTATATTCACATATATAGGCATACACACACACACACACACACACACACACACACACACACACACACACACACACACACATATATATATATATATATATATATATTATATATATATATATATATATATATATATTATATATTTATTATTTATTTATTCATATTATCTATATTGTTTATATGTGTTTTTTATTATTTCACTTTGAGTATCTGATCACTAATTGTGCATATAATACTCTTTGTTATTTAAGGAATCTTTCTCCTTTAGTGTTTTTCCTTTGGGTGTTGTTAGTTCTCTTACCTTTACCATTTTTCTCTCTCTGTTTTTACTCAAGTTTGAATGATAGATGCTAAATAAAAATACAAGCCTCTCCAAAAATTTTAATTTTGATATTTTTCTATCCTTCCTGACATTCTCTCTCTCTCTCTCTCTCTCTCTCTCTCTCTCTCTCTCTCTATATCTTTATCTTTATCTCTTTACACTTCTTGCAACCTGAATTACCAAACAGTAATTATAAACAGGAATGTTTATAATTACTTATGCAATACTTAAACCATTTTAGTAAAAGAGAGAGAGAAAGAGAGAGAGAGAGAGAGAGAGAGAGAGAGAGAGAGAGAGGAGAGAGAGAGAGAGAGAGAGAGAGAGAGAGAGAGAGAGAGAGAGAGAGAGAGAGAGAGATGGATAGATAGATAAAGAAAGAGAGACAAAAAGAGAAAGAAAATCCTTCAGACCCAAAATCTCCCTTGAAAATAACTTTTATCTACATATCTATCCTTCTTCCTTTACCTTGGCTTCTATATAATCATTTCTTCTCTTTCTTTCATGAATAATAAAGAAATTCTCTCCACGTACAGTACACATAAAAAGATCGTAGAAGATATAAAACTAGGTTACAATTCTCGCTTTCCAGGAAATAAATTTGCATAAACTGAATTAAAGGATAAAGGATTTGTGTATGACAGCAAAAAGCAAAATATATTGTTATATTTTGTTCTTAATGTTTTTGATGATCATGATTATAAAAAAAGAAATGAAAAAATATTGATGATGATGATGTAGTGATCATGATGATAAGGATAATAATAACCATAAAGATTTTCATAGATTTTCCTGTTATCATCATCCTCATTATTATCATTGCTTTCATTTTCATCATCATCATATTTTATTATTATTATTATTATTATTATTATTATAACAATTATTTTCATTATTATAATCAATATCATTTTCATTATCACCATTACCATTATTCTTATTATCATTATTATCATTATCACTACAATTATCATTATTATCATTATCACTACAATTATCATTATTATTATACTATTATCATTATTATCACTACAATTATCATTATTATCATTATCACTACAATTATCATTATTATCATTATCACTACAAATCATTATTATCATTATCAACTACAATTATCATTATTATCATTAGATCATTATTACAATTATCATTGTGTTGTTGTGATGATTATTATTATTATCATTGCTATTAGCATCATTAGCATTAGTATCATTATAATTATCATTACTATTAGTAGTAGTAGTACTATAATCATTATAATGATTATCATTATTATTATTATCTTTATCATTTTCCTTATTATTATCATCATTACCATCATTATTATCGTCATTATCATGATTATCTTTATCATCATTATCTCAATTATTGTCTTTATTATTATCATCATTACCATTATCATTATCGTCCTTATCATCAGTGCTATGATTATTCATATTGTTTTCATTAGTAATAAGATCTTTATTACTATTATTAGTAGTAGTGTAATCATTGTGATTATCATGATTATTATTATAAATATTATTACTATTATTATAAATATTATCATTATCATTACCACTACCTTTATAGCCATTACCATTTTAATCATCATTATTATTATTATTATTATTATTATTATTATTATTATTATTATCATTATTATTATCATTATTATTTTTATCATTATTATTATCATTGTTAGTATTTTATTATTTTTGCTATCATTATCATTATTATTTTCAGTTTTATTACAATCATCAGTATCATTTTCGGAATCATGATCATAATTACTGTAATAATGATTATCATTGTTATTATCATTACTAACAACGATATGTTATTATCATTGTCAATATTATTTCTGTCATTATATATATGTAGATAGATATATGCAATTTTTTTCTTCTACTTTCTTTTCTTCCTCTTCCTCTTCTTTTATGATACCTTAATGGACGTAATAAGAAAACATTTTTACCTTTGCTTATCATAAATATTAACACTTAATACCATCATCTTTATTATCATTACTTTCTCAACATTATGCTAATATTTTTACCATGCATATTATTCTTATTGATGTCTATAATTTCCTACAATCAACCCTTATTAGCATTATCAATAATATGATTATTACTGTAATCATCACTATTGTAATGATAATGACAATTATTGTTACAATATCTATTATCATATTGAATTGTATGATATTATTGTTGTCGTCGTTACCGCCAACAAAGCTATTTGAACAAAAAAACAATGGCTTCCTTTTTACCTTATAGACCATAAATTCACACCAAGTTCGTTCCCCTCAAAACTCAAATAATTATTTCCTGTGGCCAAAGTGACGTTGATTCAAAACTGAATTATGCAAGTCCCAAAACGACCAAGGATTTTATCAAAAGGAGAGGGCTTAGTTGTAATAACAGGGTTGTTCACTTATTGGCTCTTTATTCTTTCGTTCTTTGTCTTCATCTCTCTCTCTTTTTTTCTTCTCTCTCTCTCTCTCTCTTTCTCTCTCTTCTCTCTTCTTCTCTCTCTTCTCTTTTCTCTCTTCTACTCTCTTCTCATATCTTCTCTCTCTTCTCTCTTCTTCTCTCTCTTCTCTCTTCTCTCTCTCTCTCTTCTCTTTCTCCTCTCTTCTTCTTTTCTCTCCTCTTCTCTCTCTCTCTCTTCGTTCCTGTGCACCTATCAATCAATCTATCTATTCATCTACCTATCAATCTATCAGTTCATCTATCTATCTATCAACCTATCTACATATCTATCTATCTATATCTACAGTCTTCTAGTGACATAAGTTCATCTGATTTATCAATACTAATATAAATCACTTAGCTATGTCTCCTTCCTCCGCCATTCAGCTTGCAAGATACGCCAAGGAATGCGACGAGAATGAGTCACACGAAACAAGTGATTCTTTATTGCATAGTTGAATAATAACCGGACGCTGGAATACTGCAACGCCGGCTTCTCTCGGATGCACAGTACCGTTGCAATTTTAAGTAGATTCTTCGTGTGCAATAGCGGATCGAAATGTAAAGAGAGTTCTTGAGGAAAAAGGAAGTTTGATGTAATGTGTGTTCTGGTCTCTTTCTCTCTTTTTCTCTCACTCTTTATCAGTCTCTCTCTCTCTCTGTCTCTCTATCTATCTATCACTTTCTCTCTCTCTCACTCTCTCTATCAATCTCTCTCTCTCTGTCTATCACTTTCTCTCTCTCTCACTCTCTTTATCTTTCTCTCTCTCTCCTCTCTCACTCCCTCACTCTCTCCCGCTTCTCTCTCTCTCTCTCTCTCTCTCTCTCTCTCTCTCTCTCTCTCTCTCTCTCCTCTTCTCTCTCTCTCTCTCTCTCTCTCTTTCTCTCTATCTATCTATCATCACACTCTCTCTCACTTACTCCGCCTCTCTCTCTCTGTCTCTCCATTTCTTTTTTCTCCCTTGTTTCCTTTTTCTATATATTATTATTTTTATTTTTTTTTTTTTTTTTATTGCATTATTTCCTTTCTATCAATTTTTCTTTTTGGAAGGGGGGGGGGGTAAATCGACTTCATCAGGAAGCGATAAAAGAGATACCAGGATAGACGCGCGCGTGTTTTGTTTTGTCCGTGAATTTCTTGTCCTTATGCTAATGAGCAATTGTCTTGTAGATAAATATAACAAGAGATCTTAATCTGACCTT